CTGTGCACCCCTGGATCGTCTATGTGAGTTTTTGCTGCCCTGTAAGCCTCTTCTGTTATTTGTTGTAAATAAATCCTTAATGTAATATATCTCCTGAGTCCTGGATTGCCTGCCTGCACCATTGAGTTTATCTACACCAGAGTTCCCCCACCCTTTAGGACAAGAGGGGCTGATGAGCAAACAGACACCTGAACACGCGAGAGTTGGCAGACCTGGAGCTGAGGATCAGAACTGGCTGAGAAAAAAGAAAAGAACTGGTGGCACCATGGGCAGCGCGGTGGCACAACTGGTAGAGCTGCTGCCTCTCAGCAAGCAGGTCCCTGATTCAAATCCCGGTCCGGGGGCTTTTCTGGGTGGAGTTTGCATGTTCTTTCCGTGCATGCGTGGGTTTTCTCCGGGTACTCCGGTTTCCTCCCACAGACCAAAAACATGCATGTTAGGCTGATTGGTAACTCTAAATTGTCCCTAGGTGTGAGTGAGAGACTGAATGGTTGTTTGTCTCGTTTGTCTCTATGTGGCCCTGTGATGGACTTGCGACCCATCCAGGGTGTACCCCGCCCCTCTCACAGTGATTGCCGGACATGGGCACCAGCGACCCCCGTGACCCAAAATGGAAGAAGCGGGTAAAAGATAATGGATGGATGGTGGCACCAGAGAAAAAACAGTAACAAGCATGAAAATAAAGCTCAACCACAAACTTCTCAGACAAGTACTGAAATATCTTCAGAAAACAATATGACAGTGTGTCTGATTGATATTAAAACTAATTGTCTCCAGAACATCAGTCTTTCCAGAACTTTGAAAAAAATTACAAAGCAACTTAAAGAGAATTAACACGCTAATATGAAGATAAATTACTTTAATAATCCATGTTACATCATCACCTCTTAGTCTGACAGCACCTTATAGAAGGGATTTGTAGTTTTCATTCTTCACGACCACTCAGAGCAGGTGCAGTTTATCAGGAACAATCCATGCACGCGCCTGACAACCCATAAACACATCACCAAGTCTAGTACAGCCAGCTGAAAACGGTCCTACCTGGCTTCTACCGGAAGTTCTCTCCTCACAGCAGCTCCTTATTCTCACAGGCAGGTCTGAAAGGAGGGGGAATCTGCTCTTTACGTCCCACGGGATATTCCTGGAGAAGAAACGGAGCTTGGGGTATCTGCGGGGGGAGATGAAGCTCTGGCAGCCGGCTGCACCTCGGAGCAGAGCAGGTTAAAGTGATGTAGTGACGCAGTGTGAACACCAGAGGGCGCTGTTGGACAAGTTTATATCAAGACAGCGAAGGAGCGCAAAAAAGAAAACTGCAACTTTTTTCAGTTACTGGCTTTGAGCTGTAAGCTCCCTTTAAATCTCTCTCCTTTCTACAAACAAGCACTCACCTTTCACTTATTATTATTATTATTATTATTAAAAGAAAACAGTGTCAAATAATCAAATCAAAATCATCAAACAACCCACCAAAGTGTAGCAATCAGAGTACGTGTTGTGGATGACTCTCAGCTACAACTGCACCTAATTTTACATCAATATATGTCTATTTCACTGAGATACAGGCATTGTTTATTTATTTATTTATTTTAAGTTGGTGTGGCCGTCTTGAATTGGATGCGCTACAAAAATGAATCGCTGTCTGCCAGGGACGGGCAAACTCAGCCCGGGAGCTTGCTTTGGAGAGGCCTTTGGTCTGAGCGCACGACGGATGCATGTGGAACCATAATTTGAACACAAATACTTTATTTGCAGCATAAAAACCCTGTTCTTTCAACAATCAAAACAACTGTTTATGTTTATGATACAATAAAAAAAAAAACACAAATCTGTTCATAAAAGTTTATTAAACAAGCAGCTTATCATAAAAACCAAAGCGAATGTTAAGGAACAAAAAACAACTTCCAAAGGTTTACAGACCTATAACATAAAAATCTCTTCTCAAACAAAAGGAAACTCATAATTTCCATTATTAACAAGAGCTTGAGCAGTGCACAGGCCTCTGCTGCATCACTGTCTAAAGTCATCAGGTCCTCTTTCATCTCCACCTCCTTCTCCTCTCCATCCTCATCTGTCCCTTCCTCCTCCTCACTCCTATGGCTGGCATTATCCTTCCTGTCCCTCTGCGTCAACTCCTCGACTGACATCGGCCTTTTCAGCTACTAATAACAATAACGGCAACAATGATCAAGATTAGAGCACTTTCGCAAAAAGAATTCAGTTTTATAACACAAATACAACACAAGAAAAGTGCTACAGACACACAATGCATGAATTACTCACTGCAATGTATTTTTCTTGCGCTGGTAAAAATAGTTCTATATTAATGTAAAAACAGACTCTTGCCTGAAACATGTTTTTGTTTGCAATAAAAAAATGTGCCTTTTTCTGGTCAGTCAGCCACGGGCGATTCTAGACTCTGACCTTTAGGTGTGCTTAGCCCCCCAGTGCTGACAATGTCTCTTGGCTTGAACAATGTGGTGGCCTTTGGTGTCAGAAGCATTCATGATATATGGGGGGAAACTCTGGTGGGGGGGTCAGGAGGTCCTATTACAGAAAATTGTGAATAAAGTAGATGCAATTTCCTGCTTTCAGGTGTATTTTAACAGGTTGTTAAACATCTTTGTTTACCTGCCTAAGTAAACACTTGAGTCAATAACTATTTTAGAGAGCAACAAGAAGTAGC